CATAAATTCAATACGTAAATGGAGACCTGAGAGCTGCCGACAGACTGTCGACCCCATGCTCACTCTCTATTACTGACTAGGCAAAGGCTTTCCCGTGGGTCTTTCCATACTGCAGAAAGTTAGCTTTTCCTACAAGTCCTTTCTAACCCCCGGAGCTGCTTGTGCCCCTGAGGTCTCTGCCTCCTAAAAAAATCACTCCAGAACCTGCTCTCCAGCCCAGGTTTCATCAGAGCCATAAGAAGAAACAGGCGTAACTTGTATTTCTTTTAATAGACTGATGGATTGTCGTAGGTCCACAGACAGACCTCATTCGGACCCAGCCTGACCTCCTTAAGGACAAAGCAGTGTGCCTTTGCGGCTTTGCTGTGGTTAACTAGTGAAATGAAAATGAAGGGTGTGTGAGGGGAGCTGCATCAGAACTAGCACGGCTGCTGCACGGCACGAGTGGAAACTTCAGATCCACCAGGACCTGAAGGTGGTCCTACTGACAAGGCCACGTCCAACGTCCTTCAGACAGGAGAGCCTTAGAAAGGGAAGCAATGCCTCCTCTCGAGTAGCTCGGAGTCAAGTAGCAGTTGAGGCAGGTGGGCTGGAATGACCTCGAGGTTGCACTGGTGACTGAGACCAAGAGAAAGTGATGGAGGAAACAGCCAAGGAGACCTTTTTGGCTACAGGCACTGGGAAGATTCAGATGAATGAAAACAACTGAAGGAGAGCAGGACGGAGCGGGCACTCGCTGAAAGACAAACTGACACGTGCCTGCCATCTAGTGCTAAGTGTGAGAGGAAGACAGAGGAAAGAAGCCTGTGAAAGGGCGCAGAGGGAGGATGGTATCCAAGGGCAGAGCAGAGAAACGTGAGAAGCACGCCGCAGGGAGGATTACAGAGCAGGGAGGAGGAGCAGGATGACAAACTCGCTGGCAGGCAATGAAAGGAGGATGTTCTAAGAAGTTAAGATAACTGACAAGGAAGCACTGAGTACACAAGGCGCAGGAGGTCACTGAAGCAAGTGGTGGAGTCTTTGGGAGGTAAACATTAGGGGAATTTATTGACAGAAGTCGTAAACGTAGCTAAAAAATGAAATGAATTCATCGCCGTGGTGCTCACAAAGGAAAATGAGAGACAGATGCCAGGAGCAGACACGCACTTCCCAGAGGACAGGGATGAAATGCTGAGGAAATCAGAAGCGTGCCCAAACAGGTGATCAAGAAATCTGAACGTCCGCAGCCCTCCTCGGCCGCGTCACCTGAGAGCTGGCCCTGACCTGATCCGGGTGGGGATCAGCGTGCAGCACAGATGCCGAGCCTGATGCGGGAAGGCCTGGCCGGCTACGGCAAGACAAACATGTGCCCGTGTCGGGCAAGAATTCCCCATCAGTTTTAGCTCTGGACACCTCTGCTATCCTGCTAGCAGCTGGGGTGTCTGGAGGTGGGGGCACTTCCTGAGCCGCCGGCAGCTCTGGCCACAGACACAGGCCACTTTCCACCTGCTGCGCATCTCTGCCGAACGCTCTCAACTCTCAGGAGCTCCAAGCTGCGCTTCCCCACCGTGTCCTGCGCGGAACCCCCTCTCCGGGCGGGGCAGTGCCTGCAGAAACCAGTCTTACCTGGGAGACGTGGCACATTTCTCTTTCCGCTGTCCACAAAGACCATCTAACCTTCCCATGCTAGAAACCAATTCCATCTATGCTTCTTGAAATTCGCACACAGTCTTTGGGCTGGTAACATTTGGCATCTAAAGGGAAAGAGGTCCTGGCTCTGACTAAACCAAGGCCACTGATGTCACTCAGCAAACAAGCAGGGCCAGACTGAGGAACCCCTGCCTCGGCTCCACTGTGAGGAAGAGGCTCCCTGACCGCTGTCTTCTCATGACTCGGTTCTGGCTCCATGGGACTCGGGACCAGGGTTGTCCTGGACCCCCGCCTGCCTTCCCCGGCCGTCGGCTCCATCACAGTTCTCAGGCCTGGCCTCCCCAGGAGTCCTGCCCGACCGACCCCAGTCACCCTCCTTCCCTCACACCTCTGACCTTTGCCCCACATCCTTGCCCTTCTCTAAGAATGGGGATATGACGCCCAGAACCCAGTGTGCTGCAGTAAAGAACGTTCTCTTTGAGGGTTCACTACATCCTTGGTGCTCTGTGAAATTCAACTCTTGTGCCTTCTTGTTTGTTCTGAGAATGACAGTTTATGGATCTTGCCTTATGATCCTGGTCACTGTTTATTTTATGATTTGAGATGTTCCCAGGTTGGCAACACTACACTGAGGCTTTTTTTCTTGATCAATAACCCACTCAGTAAGGCAGCTGAGCAAGTTGCTCATCAGCCAAATGTGACGGGTCACCCATTAATTAGTGACCTAAGTCAACCCACGCTAACTGGCTGGTCCAGTCAAGTAGCTGGGGCTCCCTGCACAGATATTTTTGTAAACTCATCAGGGAGAGGGGATCTTGCACTCCAGCTTTAGAGTTCTGTAAGGGGAAGTTACTTTTCATCTGATCTCTGAGGTGATGGGCTTGGGGCTGAGGGCTGGAAAAAGACTCTGACCAGACTTGCTCCGGTGCTTCTCAGCCTTCTCTGAGTTAAGAATTCCTTCTGTTGTAAATGATAATTACAGATTCCCATTTAGGAATTAAAGAAAAAAATTTGTCTTTTTTTTAATGCATTATATAAGAAACAAGTGACTGCAAATAAAAATATTTAATTTTAGCTTCATATACTATTATGTAAAGATAAATTCAAATTGTTTTCCAATTTAGTAAGTAATACATACATAATTAATTTAAGTGGTAAGAAAAATCGAGATTTATTGGCAAAATTTAACAACTATGATGTTTGGTTTGGGGCTCAAATATATATTAAAATGCAGATTCAAATTTACTTTTGTTCCATCATCAAAAAAAAGAAAAAAGTGTTTTTATGACCTGATGTTTAGAATTCTTTAATTTTATGCTTTAAAAAAATCAGTTGCTTTACTTTTGTAATTTTCAGGTTTGTTTTGAAATGAAGAGGTAAGAAAAAGTTTCAGGCTTCTGTTTATAAGCTCTCCTCTGCAAGAAACACATTGTGGGCGTGTATCATTTTTATTCTAAATAAATACAAAGGCAAAATGAATATAAATTATCACAATATTTGCACTTCTTAAAATACTTTTTGAAGTGCCAGAAGCACCTTGATGTGCCCTGGAGAATTCTGAGTTGACAAACATAATGCATGAATCCAGGGCCAGCTGCATGATGTGTGGGGCTCAGTGCAAAATGAAAATGTAGAGCTTCTTGTTCAAAAAGGCAGGAAAAAAGCTTCTCCTTTGCTCCCACAGTGTCTCTCCTGACGTGTCCTGGGGTTTTCATTTGCTTTTTGATGCTGCGCTCGCTCGGGCTCAGGCTTGGGGGAGAGCCTTAGGTCAGGGCAGGCGCTCACGGCACCCTGGGCCCTATCCTGGGACTCGCACGTGAGACTCACACTAGATCCTGACTCTCCCCACAAGCGTGCGAGGCCCCCACTGGGAGTGGCGGGTGGCAGTGGCCACAGGGCAGGCTGAGGAGGGGGAGGCTGAGCAAGTCCATGCTCCAGGGGTCAGGGGGTGGGTGGCTGAGAACCTGTCCCAGGAAGGTGAGGAGGGGCAGGGCTGGCCTGCAGGTCAGCCGAGGCTCGGGGCCCTGGTGGGCACTCCACTGTCCCACGGGGGCTTCCCTTATAAAAGAAAATTCAAAGGTAAAATTGCCAAGACTATCAAGAGGGTGCTAGAGAGCATTAAACCCTAAGCTCTGAGCCCCCTTCTGGATACGGAGCCCCACGCCACGGCCCTGGTCACACACCCAGGAAGCCGGTCCTGTACAGATCTGAGAAAGTTCACGTTAAGATGAAATTGCAGGACGGTTACTACTTTTATGCCTTGCATTTACTACCTCGAGTTTCAACCTTACTGTTCCTTATGACTGCGGTCTTTAACCAGCGGTCAGGCCTTCAGGGGTGCACGCTCAGCACATCTGACTGTAAAAGCACCAGCTTGATGAGCACCTGCCGGACTCCAACCCACCAGCACCGGCGCTCACTCTATGCCCACCTGAGAAACAGAAAGGCTAAGTAATAATTAACTTACGGGTTGATTATTTTGCACTCAAAATGGAAACAGATGTCCTTCTCACCTTAAACGGTGTGAGTGGACCCTGAGGTGCCTCTGTGAGCCCAGCGGGGATCCACGCTGCTGAGGGGGGCAGTCCCGGCGTGCCTGGCGCGGCCCTGGGCTGCGCTGGCGGTCCTGGTACAAGCACTCGAAGCGCCCTCCCCTCACGCTCTCGACTCACTGCGGGCACTGTCCTCTCCTCTCTGATCTGGAGGAACCCGTGCACTTCTCCAGAGAAAAACAGCGCGTTTGAGGCCCAGGAACCTCACCTGCCTGCTGCCCTGACCGCAGGAGCCCAAAGTGGGGAGAATAACCTGCCCACTCTTCCCTCGTGAAATCCAAAGGTGACGGAACATCCACAAACAGTGCAGCCCAATGGAATGGCTGCTGCCCCGGGATCTAGGCCTGGGCCTAGGTGAGGAACAGGCCAGGGAGGAAGAGGCTCACCCGAGAACACTTATGTGCAGGCTGGCACAGGACCGGGGGGCCGGACAGAAGGAACCAGCAACTGTGCGCCTCAGCTGCCCCGCGGGGCTGGGGCTCCTTGCACACCATGCTCAGAGGGCCCAGGGACCACTGAGACAGCTGACGTCTGGGAGGGCGGAGGGCTCTGAGGACAGGGCGTTTGACCTCTCCAGGTCTCTGCAGAGTGGCTGGTAGGCGGAAGCAAAGCCGCAGGAGCAGGCTTCCATTCGCTGGTGAAGAGCTACCCAGAAATGGTAACGACGTCCCCACCGTGCAAGAGCAGGACTTTCTCCTGTCCCAAGCTGAACAACAGGACATTAGCGGGTGGAACAAACAGCTCCACTTAACTCAGGATGTGGCATTTACCTGTACACCAGGAAATATCACCGTGTCTTTCAGGAAAGGGGACCCTTACCTCATTTGCTGTGTTGTGTGTTCCAACGATTCGAATGAAGGAGGCCGGCCGTCTTTCAAAAGTTACTGATTGCCAGGACCTGTGAGGAGAAGCACAAGCATTGCCTGGTTAGACCACCCAGTTGACCCTGCTGACAGCACGGGGCCAGCAGAGCCCAGTGCGTGGACGGGGAGGGCCTCCTGCGCCGTAGGTGGGCGGGGACAGGGCTCCACCCACTGTGGGGAGACGGGCAGGAGCACACGGTGTTCCCTACAATCTCATCAAAGAAGGCGCCCTGCCCTTCTGCGAAGGCGACGGGATTCTCATAAAGCTCGACATAAGCGTGAAGGGCAGACTGCGTACACGTAGTGACAAGAGTGTGGCCGAACAGAGGAGTGACCAAGGCTGGTGGAGTTCATGAAGTAACAGGGCCACGATGGGGCTGCCTTCAGAGGGCTGTGGGCTGAATGGATGCGTCCAGGTGGGCGCAGTGACTTCGCTGGGGAGCCCTGGGAGGAGGAGCTGAGGCAGGGCAAGGGGAGGACAGGGCTGGGCGGCACTCGCTGCAGTGTGAGCCCCAGGCTCCTGTCTGAACCCCTCACCCCACCCCCTGCGAGTGGCGGCACCTGGGGAAGAAGAGGCAGTTTCTCCATAGGCCTCCCTCCAGCCCTCCTTTTCCCACTTCCAAATATGCCCCCCCAAACAGTTTATTCTCTGGACCAGCCAGTCTCCGGTTGGGCTCAAAAGCAGCCCCGCTATTTTAAAAGCCATTCCTCAAGGATCAGCAGGGGCTGGGCCAGTTCATTTAAAGCCCAGCCGAGCGGGCCCCAAGCCGCCCCTGGGAGGAGGCAGTCTGCTCCCGGTTTACTGCCCCGTTCATCAGAACACACGGGGAGCTCAGCATCCACAGCTGCAAACCAGGAATACTTTCATAAGAAATGTGAGGAGTTCACAGTTGTTGCATCCCTCCTCTGTCCACACAGTGGAAGTGCCAGCTGCTGGGAAGCTGTTTCCTGTAATTGTCTAATTACCAAGTAATGCTACTAAAGAAAATACATGTATTTGCGGTTTGTTTTCCCCCCTTTGCTTTCAGGTGTTCCATCTTCTCTCTCCCTGTGAGCCTCCCACTGAGACTGATTCACTGCTGCCTGGACACCAGGCCCCTTAAGGTCATTAAAAAGTCGTTACCATCCTGTGTGCAAAGTCTGTGCCTCCAGAAGCATGTTTCTGGAACAGCATAAGAAAAATCACTCTTTGTAAAAAGGCTATTATTCATACATGAAGGTGATGCCATCTGACCATCCCCAAGGCCTGCACTCCTGGCCCATTTTCTCTGTGTTTTGCTCCCAGACCCATGCAGCTCCCTTGGAAAGCCGGTGGGCCTATGAGGAAGGCCCTGTGGGGCTTCAACTCTGGGCCTGGGCTCGCTCCCACAGGCCTCGGGGTCGCTTCTGAGCTAAGCAGGGTAACTGAGCACAGATCTGCCTCCTTCCTCTGGCAGGTCAGGGGAAGCTGGGGTCCACAATGCGAGGGCATCAGAGTCCCATCCCTGCTGCTAATGCAAGAGGCAGCACGCACCAAAGCTGGTCCACCCTGCTCCTCAGACCACCCCTCCAGGAAAGGGAAACAGAACTCGGGCAAGTGACCTCAGACGGTGACAACTATTAGGTTCAGCCAGTTTCACAAAAAGGACTGGGGTAGAGAAGGGGGCGGGAGTGGAGCAGACAGCGTGAAGACTTTTCTTCTTAGATTTCTAGTCCTATGCTAATCCAAAAAATCGCCCGGCGCTTCTGGACGTGAAGGTATAACTTGACTCTCGTAAGCTCATGGTACTTGACAACATGCTCAGGGCTCTGAGAGTGCAGACAGGCCCCTAATCATTCCCTCTGTGGAAGACCCCTCCTCCCTCCGCAGTGTGGAGTGGAGGCCAAGGCCCTGAAGGAAGTGAGGGTTCGCCGTGAGTCATCCTGGGCAGAGCCGGGCCTGAACCCCAGTCTCCCTTTCCTCACCATGGCCCCCTCGGCTCCCATCTCCTGCCCCAGCCTCCGCGGCGGGCCTGGGCTGGCACCACCGGCCCCCACCTCTGCTGGGGGAAGCAGGGCTGGCAGGGCAGCAGCCTGAGAAGGAGGGAGCATTTGTGGAGTAATAAGATCAGAAGGCTTCAATTTAATACCAATCCTCCATTACCCTGCATTAATATCTAATCACATTAGAGTTCATTTTCACTAACACAGCCCGAGAGTTGAACAGACGATTTCATTTTCAGCAAACTGGATAACAACCCCAGGACCAAAATACGAGTAGGAAGGGAAGCTGGTGAGGATGAGATAATGAGCATCTCTCCCTCCAAAATATCAGATTCCACTTCCCCTGAACTTTTTCAAAACAACTTTCAGTGCTGCCCAGTGGGGAAAGGATAAGGCAGCATCAGGACACTGTCACATTGGAGCCGCATTTGTAATCAGGGTGCAACCTTGAGGAGGGTTCACGCTTCACGGGGCCAGGACCCATCACCACCACTTAGTCTACACAAAAGCTTGACTGCCATTTTTATTGAGCTTACAGAGAGCTGTATAAATATTCCTACTTGCCCAGGACTCGGAATCTCTTTAGTAGGCAACACTCCCAGGAAGACAACAGAACAACAGGGGTGTAGCACCACTCAGCTCTGAGCCAACACCGGGTGCCGGGAGGACGTGTCTGAACAGGAACAATGGGTGTCAAAAAATACGTGCGGGTCTTTGCTCTGAGCACCCACCCCAAACAGAAAAACCTACACGGGACTGAAGTCCCAACTCCGGCACTTGCCATCTCTCCAGCTGACAAATCACGCCCGCTTCCTGAGCTGTAGTTTCTTCATTTGTCCAATGCTGACAGAAATAATACCACTCCCTTGGTTACAAAAATGCATCTAGAATGAGGTCCTGATTATGTTAAACTGTAAATACCTATACACACACGCATTCAAAGAGGGATGTCTACAAGAATGTTTGCCAAAATGTTTGGATGGAAGAATTTCAAGAGACATTAATTGTACTTTTGTACTTTTCTGTCTTGTTTGAGTTTGGTAGAATGTACATGAAAGCATTAGAAAAAGTACCTATCTTGCCTACCACCCAAGACTTTAACACAGATCGTGTGACACGAAGCAAATGAAAATGCCAGCACTGTATTATTACGTAGAATATTTCCAGTTGAGAGGATCACTGGGGGACAGTCAAGACAGCAGGTTTTATTCATGGCCTTTCATGAACTAGAGGTAGGATTGGCAAAGTGGTTGACAGCATGGGCTCTGGAGCCAGGCTCCTGGGTTTGAATTTTTACCAGCTCTGTGACCTTAGGCAAGCTGCTTAACCTTTCTGGGCTTTAGTCTCCTCTCTGTAAAATGAGGATAATAAAAATACCTATCTAAATTTTTGGTGTGTGAAGATTAAATACATTAACAAATGTAAACCACCTAGAACAGTGCTGGCATACACTAGGCTCTAAGAAAAATAGCTGATATTGGTATTACTACTGTAATTACCAGCCAGCCATGTGAACCTGGACGAGACACACTGTTTCCCTGGGCCCCACCTGTGAGTCACTGAGTTTGATGGCGTATGATTTAGTGACTACTGCAGAGGTTCCCACCACCCTCCCATCAGCACCCATTTCCTGGAGGCAGACAAGGTAGCTGGGCTTTGAAGGAATTAAACACGCATTTGTTGAATACATTCTTGAGGTTGGTACCTGCTGGGTGTTATGGGAAACATGCAAGATGTAGTGCTTGCCCTAAAGAAGCTTAGGATCTCTCTGGGGACATAAGCTATCCTTCCATGAACTAGCCAGAGAACAATGCAAACAGTACTGTGGTCCCAACTTATAAACTGGTAGTGTTCCGAAACACCCCTGGTAATTGGCTATTTGAAGCCTGGAAGCAATTTTTTCAGAGAAATAAAGCTATACATTTTGATTGAGTTACCCGGCCCACCCATAAAACTCAATTTAACCCATAATGAGGCTGAAATACTATGTATATGAAGTTTAAAAATGGAAGGAAAAAATGTTGTTGTTGCCATAGTAGTAATTAAACAAGCCAGAAAAACAAGTGATTTAAAACAATCTCTCTAAAGCTACTGCTTGAGGAATGAGGATTAAATACTGTAATGCATATAAAATCCTAGGGCTGCAGCTGAAATATGGTAGGTGGTCTGTTTATAAGGAGAGTGAAAAAGTGGGCCAAGAACTGTCCTTCTAAAAGCCTATTCGGCCTGCAGACCACCGTGTGGTTTACAGAGTGCTTCACAATCGCTGTGAACATGCTACTCATGAAAACATACATGCTTGTAAATTTTGTTTACTATTCTGGGAGGAGATATGCTGAATTCAGGATAGTGCTTGTCTCTCAGGAGAGGGTGAGGACTGGGGTTTGCTGATGGGGAACAAAGGATACTTCAACACCAACTGGAATGTTTTATTTCTTTGATTAAAATAAAAAGACCAAGTGTATGTGAAAAATATTAACCACAGTCAATTCTGGGGATGAGTATGTGAGTAATGTTGTAATACTCTTCATTCTTTTCTGCATTTTAAACACTTCTTAAAATAAATAAAAAGAAAGAAAGAGAAGAAAGGGATTAAAATGGTGTCTGTGTTTATGTCAGGGGAAAGGTGGAGTCAGTCCCTCGGTGGGGCTGGGGGTTTGCCGGTGGGGGAGGCAGGGGGTCGCCAGGTCCCAGGACAGCGGAGTCTTTGTCCGAAGCAAGCAGAGGACAGGAGAGCTGCCTGGTTGGGGAGGAGGGTGCGGCTGCCCTCTGTGAGTACAGGGCTTGTGAGAGTGGCTCTGGGTGATGAGAGCACCACACAGGCCCTAAGGGCTCAGCTGAGAAGGGCTTCCCATCCTAAGCCACATCCTGCCTTCTCTGGGGATCCTGCAGATCCTATGGCAAGGTCTTTTCAGCTCTGAAAAATTACGTGACTTTGCTGCCTACGCTATAAAGGGAAAGCAAATGTCAGACTTTTTCTGCAGCACACGTGGTGGACACCAGGGAGATGGCCAGGAGTGTCTGGCCAGGGCCAGACTGGCAGTTAAACATAGCAAACTGAACACATGGGTTA